CATCCGTGATTTTGCAGTACGAGAACTTTTCACATCTTGGTTTCTTGGAAATAACACCCTTTTGCTCGTTTTGAATATAAGTTTTTTAATTCGCAGTATTCTATCAATGCACGCACTGCAATACAAGGTTTTTGTGTCGTTTCTGACTTTCTAAGGATAGTAATCTATCATTCGTCACATTTTTTTTCAAAATACGAAGAATTCAAATAACGAATAAGATCATCAAAAAAGACGACAATAATGCATCAGTCAAGTCACCGATATACGAAAAAACGTGAGACAATTCTGAAGACATCTACAAGCTATTAGGTGAACAAAAGACAGCTGATCTGAGCTTCTATCGATGTGAAAGTAAAAATTTACCTTTAGCGACGAAAATCACTGGTTGGCGATTTGCTTGAAAATGAAAGGAAATCACTTATCTTGGCCCATTTATTCCGCGTTCAATTTAGACAAAAGCTGTTCGGTTTCCATGTAATTGTCAATATTACAATAACTTGAGCGTACTAGAAAACGCATGGACGTCGGAAAATCTTTAAAAATTTTAACATCCCTTTGCTCGTGGCGGATGTAAGTTTTAACCTCCGCTGCGAGTAAATGTTATAATTATTTGCTTATTCCGAATTCGTACAAAATAAAAAGTTTCCACCTGAAAATTATCATTACGACTCATAACTGTCACAAAGCCATCGACACAACACTAATATCAGAATTATTTTAACAACCAAATAAAGGTGACTTCACGGGCGAAATGAAAAATATCTGTATAAATATAGTTTTAATTACTAGCTCCTTGAGATATATTAAAATGTTTTCTAAATTGAGCATGCTTCACATGATGAAAATTTGTCCCGTTGAAAACATAATTAATACAACGACTAGATAACAAAGGTGGCAATTTTCAAGTTGTTGCATCACTCTTTTTCCAAATTTTGATTTCTTTTTTCACGTGATGCTAATGGATGGATGCATTTTCAACGACTATCACTTTCCGGACGGTTTTTTTTTTTTCCTTAAAAAGATCTTCGAACCCATTGTTTGACCGTATATATCATTGACAATAAGGAATGTAATCAAAGACGATTTACGACCATTTGCGAGCATGCCATTGTTGAATCGCAAAAATTATGAACAACGTACATTGCAGCCTTCTCATAAAACGTAAAAAAGCTTTGAATTAATGTAAAAAAATAAATATGACATCTCACTTACTAAAAATCTCTCCTGAAGTTTCCAAAACTTTTGTTGAACAAGAAGAGATCGATTCTTTTAAGAGGAGATTAACAACCAAGTTTGTACATGGAACATCTTGGAAATTTCACATCGACTCCTATTGAAACTTTTGTCTTTTGAAACCCTTCATTATTGTCGCAATCAGCTTTTATGTTACTATAGCAACAATGTATTTATTGCTAAAAACGGGTGGATTGAAGACAATTGACTGACAAATATTAAAATTCAAGTAAAATTTCGCAACCAATTACTTTTGCAATAAAAGGTTGATCGGATTTCATACAAAATTCTATCAACCTTTAATTGCAAAAGTAACACTGAACATAAATGGCAAAAACCAGTTTCAAAAACTTGAAATTTTTCGACAGCTATATGAACGTGACGATTCCATATTAACTCAGCTTATTACATATAACCATAATTGTTGCAGCTGTGTTTATAATTCAATGACTAGTTTAAAATTCAACAATACATATATTTGGATGAGATCAATAGACGGCCGACGAGGATTTTTCAACGAGATACCCTGGGCGAAGTTTTAATTAGAAAACTCTAGAATATTAGTGAATAAAGGCTGATAGTTTCTAAAGAAACTGTTTGGGGCTGCGTCGGTGGGGGTAACGAAATAATTTGGATATATCAACTAAGTTGAAATGGCAAATTGGCCACCGTAACGATTACAAAGAATATTAAGTTAGGTAAAACTAAACTTGCTTCAAAACAGGCTTTAGAGAAATATCGGGGGAAAAAATGACATGCACCATTCAATATGAAACAAATAAAGCAGCTCGACCACAAAGTCTAATTCCCCAAACGTCGTGACTTAACAAAGATACTTTTTAATGTGTTTAATGTTACATAAAAGAAAACCGAGTGAAGTCAAACCCTTAGGGTATGCGTTCAATTTCTGAAGTAATCATCTACACTTAACTTAAACCCCAATTATTATTAACAATTTTTTTTAAACACGAATCAATGATACGTGGGACTAAAATGAAACGTGATATCCTCAGAGAAAGAAAAACAAAGTACAAGTTTAAAGAAAATAACCGCAGCTTTCGACAATGGAAAATGGCAGCAAAAGAAAGCTTTGAAATTTTGTCACTCGCACCACACCATGATTTTTAGGATAAAAATAATGCAAGAAGTTCATTGCACCTGTTAACGACTAGTTTAGAGCTTAGAGGGTATCAAGAACTGAGATAGCTGCTAGTTCAAGTGTCTCCAAAAATCACTGTTCATATGTTGCTAAATTCTAGTAGATGTTGTTGCCATCTGAGATCATTGTAGACGAGGAACAAAACATTTAGAATGAGGGCGAGAGAAGTTATTTCAGTTGTCTCTAGAAATCACTGCAAACTAGTTGATAAATTCTAAGTGTTGATGCCATCTGGAGATCACAGAATGGGGGAGAATATGAGAAAAACGAGTTACCTGGAAAAAAATGATCCGCATAAAATCCCACCGTTATCTCAAACTGCGATATTTACAAAAACCTTCAATTTCTTGACATGTTAGGCGGTGTGAAGTGTCGGAGGTTGATACATAAAATTATGTATTTAATCATTTCCCGTGCCAGAAATATAATCTTTTTTAACCAAAATAAAAAACCATTTATTTCTACTGAAAATACATATGTTTGAGGGAAGCAGGGAGTAAAATTTCTCCTGTATAGGTCATGACGTCATAACGTTGGTACATTCGAGTGATTTGTTGATTATTTGAAAAGCTATAATACCGATATTTATAATGCTTTACAGAGTAAATTAACGACTTCTCAGAGTGGTACAACGAATTTTGTCAAGTTTCAAAGAAGTCTTCACCCTCGTTCAACGGAGTGAGTTTACCCCACTATGACCTCGAAAAAAAACGAGGGTTTAAAAAAAAAAACGATGCGTCTCGCAGTGGGTAAAGCACTTGAATTTCCTTCCTTTTTAATCATTTGTAGCACCTTTTAGTAGTTTTTTTTTTATTTTCGTCAAAGTAAATACAGTCAAAGGAGACGCTTTATGAATAATTAAGCACGCAACGCATAAAGCGAAACTTGCACGATAATTCTTAAGCTGTAAAATTGTTGCTTACTTTGTGTGAGATTAGGATAACGACCGTACTTAAAGCTAAAAATCTATACGAGGCGAAAAACGGAAAGTGGTTTTATTTTCAACGCTTTTTCGCTTCTATGTTTTTAAGCTAAGTCATTTTAAGCAGACACAATAAAACTTTTAATTCCCAGGCGTCAGTCTCAAATGAATTGTTTTGGAGAATTGCTACAAATTGTGTAAATTGGAGAAAGACATGTATTATTTGTGGGTAAAAGTTTCTGTTGAATGTTTAAAATGGAGTAGTGGACTATAGGAACCTAATCACGGTTATCAGGGAAGAAGAGAAAAACATTTCAAGGAAACCTTATAAAATTCGTAAAATACAATGAATATAACTTGAATCCAATCGACTAGTACGAATCCTCTGTTCTTTACATCTATAATTGCCACTTACGTTAATCGTTTAAACTTCCTGATCAACACATGTGCTCCAAAGTGACAAAAATCTTAGTCAGCAGCTTTGAGGTAAAGCGACTACACACAACTATCATGTTAAAATCATAATCGTTTAGCCCAAAAAAGTGGATTAGTTCGATTTTGTACGAGTGCATCATTGTTGGCGTACTTGAATACGCACGACGTCTCTGTAATAGGGTTGAGACTTTAAAATGACAAATTCTTTGTAACGTAAAGACAGATGGTATACTGTTGGTAACGAGTATCGGACTAGGAAAAAAATTTTAGTTTGAATATTTGGACCCACGTTGGACTGAACTACCGATATCAAAGAACGAAATGGGTACAGCTGCCTGTGAGTAGGTTATATTCCCTCTATGAGCGATTGAGCTGGGGAAACGCCTCGCCTAACAAGAAACATCTTAACAGTGTAATTAAATGGAAAGTGTTTGGTGTCAAAACAAATTGAAACCACACAGGGGTCTTAAACTGGGAAAGGTAATAATTACCCATTACCTTAAATCCTTTCAATTATTTACAAAGGTAAGAAGCAAAAAAATAGACGAGACTTACCAAAATCCCTCCCTCGAATTTTTCCAGAAGATGGGTTTCATTGAACTGGACTATTCAAGTTTATCTACACATTATTTAGATTTTTTATCTCATCGAAGGCGACAACCGGTCATAAAATAATTAGAGCATGTGGGGATTTTAAGGCGACATACTTCCATATCGTATGCTTGTAACCAAGCAAATTATCGTAAATTATCAGTCGGTGAAATAAGTAAAATAGGGGATTTATTTGTGAATGGCATGTAAGTGACAGTTTGAAATATGACGATTTTCTTCACCACAGACGAAGAGATATTTTTTAAAGACCAACAAAAGGTTCGATACCCAACAATAATGTATCTTTTACTTTTCTGATAAAAACAAAATGTAATTTAAAACACAGCAAGACACAAGACACCGAAGAAACATTATATCTAAGATTTCACATACATGTGAACTTAACTGAAGATAGAAACAAAGTTTTGGGTAAACAAGCGCTGACAGTTGTCCAAAAAAGCTAGAGACCTATCATAATATGACGTTTAACCTCTTGAGTAACAGTTGAAGAGTAAAATTCCCTAAGGTTCGGAACAGCGTGAAACTTTTCTAAAAAGCGTCAAAATCTTGAACAAACACAAGAATAAATAAACGAATTAATAAATGGTAGCATGCCTTTTTTTGATTAAGAGCTAATATTTGAGTCAAAAATATACTCACCGAAAATTTCCTCAAATCTGTTTAGTCCAGAGTTCAATGGTCGGCTGTTTTTCTTTACTGCCTCGCTAACAAAAACCTTGTAGCAACGCCAAGCCTCTTAAGTAGATTTCATTGTTTCTCGCAGCCACCAATCAAACTTCATGAAGGAATGTCGTTGTCAACCTTCAATAAATTACCCAAGAAGTTTTCAGAAATGTTTTAGCCACTTTATCTACGACCAAAGAAATTGTCTCAGATTTTCAGTGTGAACGAAATCTTTGCACAATTACAGCAGAATTATGACATAAATTGACTAATCACTTTCTAAGCATTCCGGTGAAAAAATAGTTACTACGTTCAGGAAGAATAGTCTGTATTTTTTTTTTTGGCAACGCCTAAAAGTTTCATCGAAATAATACTTTTCTGTTTAAGCAGAATTATCTTTAATATGGCATCTGCAGGCAACTTACCAACTTTCTCCTGGAAATTTGCCGTAGAAAAAACTGCTCGGGAAAATCTTGAATATTATCAGTTTAGACTATAACTTCGAAATGAGGTGTGCGAAAAATCAGAGATATGACGGATTAAAATCAATCGCCTTGAAGTTTTAATTGGTGGATCAATCATGTCTCAGACGCTGCCTTGCTTCGTGTTTGCAGTTTAAGTTATTTCTGTAAAAGCAAGGTTTCTTCATAAAAAGAGTAATTTGTTGCATTTGGCCTTGCGAAGTTACAATGTCGAAGTAAAGTGAGCGAACCTCGATCATTAAATGCGTTCAAAAATCTTGAAATTGATGTGTTGTCGTTGATAAGTGGACTTTACGAGTCGCAGAAGTCAAGTATGGACTTCAAAACATATTAAATATGAACATATACAGTAATTACTACCTGTATTTAAAAAATACACACGTAATATGCTCACAACTAGACTTATGCCAGGTTTTAAACGAAATTATAAAAAACGTATATTCGATTTATTGCTTCGAATACTGGGATAAAAACAAACGAAGTTAATTTAAAAGGAAGTCGTTTTTCGAAATAATCTTGTATATCTGCTTTAAATTGAACGAAAAAATCTAGTAAGAGCGCGTACTTTGACATAAAAAAATAAAACAAACACTTTGATCTAAAAAAAGTCCTTGAAAAGTGACGTGAAGTAATAACACTTGTTTTCACGCATGCTATGTGATGAATCAGCTTCATTCCGTACCTGTTTGATTCAGCTATACAACACACAGAACGCAACTGAATATGCCGTCAAAATGGAGTATCGGCCAGTCTTGAACGGAGTTTGTCTGGATTTGCTTCTCGTTATTGGAACGAAATACTTGTATACTTCACGAGCGCTTTCCTTAACGAATTCAATATCCGTTTCACTGTTGTTTATGAACCCACCCTGAGACTACAAAAAAGAGAAAAAAAACAGACCTATATCGATTTGCAAAAAAACAGATGCCTTGCACAGAAATGATTTTTCATCTCTTTATGATTTATGTTTTGTTATTGATGGCAAATGCGGTTTTTCTTGCGTGGGGAATTTTGCATTTTAGACGAACCACAATCTGTTAGTTATGTGTTTACACTTTACAGACGACACGCTAACTTTGCCATTATAAGCACAAACAAAATGTTCTCAGGAATTGTCAACGAGTCTAATTGTAGTTGATCGCACAGAATTCTGACTGCTGTCCCAAACACCCACGCTCTATTTAAATCTAAATCCATCCACATTTAAAAAAAAATGTTTATCGTTTAGTGTCTGTCTCTCGAAGTTTTTACAGCCACAACACAATTACATACTTTAGGAGATACAAAATTTATAAGTTAAGGGTATCCAGCTTATGGCTTTGCACAATCAGTACAAAAACAGGCTAAAATTCTCATTGTGCAAAACTTTTTCTTAATACCATCTTTCAAAAGCCACATCTAGAATAATCCTTTCTCGCACCTGCGCACCAATTCAAGGTTTTAAATTGGTCTGCACACTCCAGTCTGGAAATTCAAGATATAGTTGAAAAAGACAATTCTTGTTGTTCTTGAATTATGAGAAATTTCAACTTACAAATAAATAGTGTATGATGAAACTACCTTCTGTGGCTTGTAATTAATGCAAAATGAAACCCGCTCCCGACTGAGAGAAATAGAAATAAAAAAAAAACTTGCGCGGTAAAAGAAAACACTTCGATAAGCGCGTACAATCACAAACTGCGGTCTGCGACGATGCCTGTTTTTCCCGCATTGAATCTTACTAGGTCTTCAGTAAAATGAGCTCTATACAACGTTTAATTTTCAAGAAAATGCTCAAAAATTAAAATAGTGCAGAAATTTTCAACTCAACCCTGAGATATGAAAGGTAGTAGTTTCGTGGCAATAATTCCGGCATCACTGCGCATGTACAACGCGTTTGACCGCGCGCCAAGAGCTCTAATTAAGCTTGCATTATAGTTTAAAGTTGATCAGTTTTGGAAGACTTTGACCAAATAGATGCTTGCTTCTCGTTTCAACAAACTGCCTGTTTATTTTTTGTGGTTGGGTTTTGGTCACGTTCGCCAGTGGTCCCTGCACCCAAGTTGGTTAGCCTATGGTAAACCCTTACCTTACAGTTAGGTTAGCACTTTGAAAATGGATTCCCGTCATAATATTAATAATAATAATTTAATATTTATATTGCGCAAATTAACATGTGGACATGATCAAATGCGCATCACAACACTTTTCGGGGGACTTTGGCCGGACTGCATCAGCAGTTTACAAACAATCGAAGGAAACTTATTTGAAGATGCCCCCTCCCCCCAATTCCCAGTAAACAGGCCAGACCACATCACAGTAATCTCGTGAGTGGGTTCTTTAACGTCCCCTGCCTAACCAAATTAACTAATTACTAGATCCAGGAGACGGGACCTACGGTTTATTCGTCCTTATCCGAGAAGACTAGAGTGTCTATCCATTTCTTGATATTATAGAAAGGTAGCGCGTTCTCCTCAGTTATTTTAAGACCTTGAGTGTTGGTCCAACCGGGGCTCGAACCATCGACCTCCCGCACAACAGTCCAGCGCTCTAACCAATGGAGCTAACCGGGAGGCGGTTAGAGTCCCAAACAGAAGAGTTTAGCTACGGCTATCATACGACTAACTGACTTATGAACCATTTTTAACAAACGTATTCGTCTAAACTAGTTTTAACAAGCATAACTACTACGGAAATAAATGTTTACATCTATACACTGAATTATTATTAGATCATGAATTATTTAATGAATTAATTTGCGAGCTGTTTAGATAGATGTTTATGTAAGTATGATAAAAAATTAATTCTCCCCTCTTGCTCTAATACAATTCCTTGTAAAGAAACTGAGAGAATGTTTTGTTGCATTAGGGTGTAAACATCTAACTGACGAGTGTTTCCATTCTAATTAACTGTTTGCTGGATATTGTGTTGATACTGTAAGTGGAAATGACAGGTAAGTCACTTGAAAATGGTCCACCAAATCTTAACAACTTGCTAAAAATGGCTGCCGCGAGGTAAAAATTCAAAGTTAAGCATTTTTGTCGTAAGTCTAGTACATGTATACATCAATTATTTATTCCGTAGCTGTTAAAATGACGACATACCCGAATCTCTCCTGTTTCGAAACCATGACATCTACACGGGTCATCTACACCCTCATATAGAAAGATAACAACACGTCCGTACTAACTGGGTTTATCAACATGGCGGTTTTATTCATCTAAGCGTTTTTTTTTTTTTTAAGGTAATTTACGACCATTTTTGAGGTTCAATCTAAGTTTTCTTTGAGAGAAAAACACTTTCATTTGAGAAATTTCTTTCTTTCTAGGATTTTGAAGTAGTTTTTCTACGAATTGAGTTTGTAGGCGATGATCTTTGTATTCGCAGCTCATAAAGTGTCCCCGAGATCAAAATTTTCCGGTCTGTCTTTACCTTTATTCTCATGGCAAAAATTCATCGTTTGCCGAAGCAAAACTATCCTCAGAAGCTTCATATGATTGCAGGGACAATTCATCGTCAGAGAAAGTCGACATTTTACGAATGAAACGAAACAGTTCTCAAGAAAAGTATTATAAGTGATTCCCTATGTAGCGAACAAAGAGAGTTGTGACAAAGCAAAGTATAGATTTGTTGAACCTTTAACGTCATGATGACGTTCTCTGCCGTATGTTTCCGGGCTCGACTGGAACATGTTTTCAGGAATGGCAGACGATTTTTGGACCACTTTGAAGAGGTAAAAATCGGTCATCGAAGGTTTGTTTTGAGTTTTTAATGGCGAAAAGGGTTTTGACTTGACCCAATTGAACATTCTGGAAACAAATTAGCCCAAAATAAAATGGTCAATTTTCGTCTCAAGGACACTTTAAAATGTGTTTCAAAATTATAGTCTAGGATTAAAAAAATGTCATTAATATCCATAAAATAAGCAGAATATTGCATGTGCGCTTGCGGATCGGAAATTATTTTCTAGAGAGAGATATCATCAACACTTGAAGATAACATTCGTATTTACGTGAACCCTTTCAATATCTTCTGTTGCGTTAAGTGGATTAAACTCGACACTTTCTTACTCAAGAGACGTTGCCATAAATCCCAAAGCCGGAAGACGGAAACTGAACATTAATTAGTTTTGAGAGCATTGTTTATTAGACCATAAAATGTAAACACGCCATGGGCAAAATGTCTAAAGGAAAAAGGAATATTTAGTGATTCGAAACTTCTCAACTCCGCTAATTGCATCAAAACAACTCCACCAGAAAAGGTTTCATCTCCCAAATTATTTACCACTTTCAACTAAAGTATTCAAGCTTGTGAGCTTCACTTTATGCTGTTGCACTGGCAACACGGAAGAAGAAAACTAAACAAAGAAAAAAAAATTCGGTTTTAAAGTCAGGGCTCAACCAGCAGGTATCTTAGCTCATCTTTATGTATGCCACGTTTGTCATACTGCACCCGGCCTCCCTTTTTAAATATACTGATGCATGTGCAAAGGGACTTATAAAAATAATTGATACAAATATCAAAATAAAAGCGGAAAGAAACTTTGATATTTGACAAATACAGTTTTCTCCTCTCCTCACTTTAAGGAGAAATATATAAGAGTCGGTATGATTCGTATTGAAGGAAAGGAAGTTATTACGTCCAATTATTCTTTCCCTAAAGAGTCTTTCATAAGGGAAAGTAACATTGTCAAACCAGCGAGCTTGATTCGCGAAATGATTAAGGTTTTCGCAGTTGCTTTATTCATGGATGCAAAAATTTAGATAAATGAAAAAGAATTAAAATCCTTATATACGTTTGAGACCTACCTTTTAATGCGTGTTGCGCTGACTTTCTTGAGGTAAAGTTGGGTTTTTTTCCTTTCGTGATAATGACTCTTAAGCGAGAATTTGCTTGATGTCCGACGTCTAGTGACCCGTTAGCACCTATTGAGTGTGGTGTATCAACACAATGCGAGATTCATAAAAGTAGTTTGCCTCGAGTTAAAAAAATAAACTTCCAATGAGAAAAGCGATTACACCTCATTAAAATAGGGTTGAGACGGAACTGCCTGAGGCTTCGTGTCAATTTGAAATGTAGCTAAACAAAAGATGCGCATTAACCCTGTTAATTTAAAAAACGGTTGGATTTAATTATTCTGAAAGGCAGAGGAAATGTCTTTTTCTTTCGTTAACCTATTTTTTTTATAGCCGGCGAGTGACTTGCTCGCTCGCAAAATGTCCCTCTCTTGAAGAATTATGTCTTCTGTTTTAAATACTGATCTCAACACGCGCCAAACTTAAGTGAAAAGAGGAGGAATAGAGTTGGAAGGCGAGCAACAAAAATGTAATTTTCCAAGCTAATAAGAGTCTTTGACGTGTTTTACGAGCAGATGCTTCTAGAAGTAAAATTTGACAACGTTCAAAATTGACACTATTTCCTCCCCCACTGTTAAAGCGCTAGAATATACACGAGCCACAATTTTCTTTGCAAAGTGATAACATCAGTGTTTTCCATCGATGCGGGAGGATAATTTATCGACAGGTGAAATTAAAGAACAGGGAATGCTTACCACACACATAAACAAACGTAAAAGGGCTTTTAGTTCGAAGTCGCTAAACCGAAGGCGTTGAATTTTTTAACCAAGCGGGAGAGGAACATATTGCGTCAATCAGAAACTGTTAATCAGTTGAGATCCCGAGCTGCGAAATGAAAGCCTATGGAGAAGTAGGCGTTCGGACACTCCTTGAAATTGCTTCTGACAAAGAACACGACACTGAGGCACCTGAAAGTTCCCTGTATATCTTAACCTAATGAATGTATCGCGTGGCTCGACGCATGAAGGTAATTCTCAGATCTTCGTGTCAATTCTCACTTGTAACCCTATGGATTCATTTTTGAACAGAAACTAATCATTTTCACCGTTGAAACATCGCCCACATCAACTGCAGATGGTCTGTAGCCACCACCATCCCTATCTAAATAATCAACAGATGGTCAAAAGTACTTTTCTCCCTACCCCCTCCCCCTACCTAAAACATGAAGAAGATGATATGCAACCACTACCTTTCCCACTCACAAGAGATTGTACGAAAAAGAGAGGAAGGCTAATCCTTACTATTTTCTTCGACTTTCAATTCAGGTCCGAACAACGCAACTGCTAAAATCAAAAGCTCTTCTGTTGTCAAAAGCTCAAAGAAAAGTGCACGAAATGAATTGTCAGCTCAGCATATCTAAATCAGATTCTGGAAAAAATATTTGAATTTTTACCATGTTCGTTTAATTTCTTATCTTTGCGTATTTCCCCTTGCATTTTTAACCACAAGTGGTTTGACATCATTTAGATTGAAATATGCGACGAGAATAACACAGTACTGGCAAATATTGTATCGATTAAGATTTTTTACACAGAATAATGAAGACGGTAAACTTTGAGCTCGGTAGAGAAAGAGAAAATTCGACTGACAACAACTTGACTCTGATGATGACTCCCTGTCAAATTGTCAGAAGAACAAAGGCTGATAGTTTCGAAAGAAACTGTTTGGGGCTGCATCGGTGGGAGTAACGAAATCATTTGGATATAACAACAAAGTTGAAGTGGTAAATTGGCCACCGTAACGATTACAAAAGCTGACGTATGTAATCAAAAGCTGACGAATGGGCTAACGCTCCGACGAAGGGCTAACGCTCCAAACGTCAGCTTTTGTAATCGTTACGGTGGCCAATTTACCATTTCAACTTTGTTGATATATCCAAATTAAATTGTCAAAAGGTCAGTCGTCACTAACAGTTACAAAAGTGTATAAAGAAAACATAAACATTTCCATACGGGTGCAGTTGGCTTCAATGAGCGCAGTTGTCGACTGATATCAATCAATAATTTTGATGGGAACAAATGAGTGAAAATTAAATTTTGTATTAAGTACACTAAATTCATTTGGCAAGTAAATTCTTTGGGTAGTCTGTTATCTTGCTTGTTGTATAGAGTTAGCGCGTTACAGTTAGCTCGATCGAGCCAATAAAAAGATTTGGGCTCGTACGCACGTTTACACGAACGTACATACGCACGCACGCACGTTCGTAGGTACGCACGTATAAACGGAGGTATGTACGCAGGTGTGTACGCAGGTACGTACGTATTTAGGTACGTATGTATGTACCACTACCGACAACACTTCTTCCCAGGACTATACTCA